TTGATACTGCAGACCAGTCAAGGATTAATTTCCCATTGGGCTCTGACATAACCCAGTCCAACGGATCGGACTCTTTGTCTCTTCCCAAACCCTGAAGAACGGGGCGACAAAGAAGCGAAAAGACAAGCAAGTGGTCTATGCGTCTCAGAGTCACCGTCCTGCAGATTTCAGTCCGAGATATCCATGGCGTTAAGGCTTCAGCACTATTGGTGTGGATGAATTCTTCTCCAATAATTCTTCTGTAACTGTAAGAAAAATGGATCGGAGTCTACCTACCTACGGAGCAAATCTGGGATTTATTACTCCATGAATACCTAGCTATCTACTGCGTACCCGAGCACGCTATCTGTTCGGCACTCTTGCTATGAAGACATGGAGAAGAACCAATCAATATCAACGATCCTAATGGAGTTTGTTCAAAAATTCAGCCACAATGTCTTGTGACTAAACGCAAATCCTACTCTTCAATTTATGTCAACTTATCGAAGCGAGAAAGAGGGAATAACAGTGTAGCTGGCAAAAGGACTAGTCATCACGATCGGGGTTGGAGAAACCGCAATGAGACTGGATCGGCAACCTAACAGGCCAAATCGCCTCGCCTCTTCGGATGGATGCACGGGACAAATGGAGTCAGCGCTAGCAGGGATATCCATGTCGAATTTGGCTGAAGGAATCTCTTCCAATTGGGTTATGCAGCACACCTTCGTTAGCGCGGAGGTGATTCGATGTTAATGTCCGACCTTGTCTATTTTGGTTGATGCAGGTTTTGTATGGTATTCGGTCTTACATGAATCATGCTGCTTAACTAGTTATCAGCAGCAGACTAAGCAAGCCTCGACAAAAGCAGTCAAGAAGAGAAGAGACTCGCCATTCTCCGTCTATACGACCGAACAAGGGTAATGACAAGTTCGTGATAGTCCCGAAGTCCGACCAACGTCGTTCCTCAGCTTCTGTCATGATGATCATCATTTCTTGGGTATCAGACGGAAACTTTCAACAAAAACCCACTTCTGACGGTCCGCACCGAATGGAAAGACGGGCCCGCCTCAAGCCGCCCATGGACATTCCTCTGGTTGGTTCTTTTTATCACCCAAGGAAGACGATCCAATCAGTAGGTAATAATAATAAAGACCTAAGGTACGGAGTTACAGGTGGTTTCATCGTTCCACACTTCAACTAGACATGGAAATAATCAAATATCACCTCATTGTGACACTGAGACATTGTCAACTGAACAATAACCGAGGAGAGCCTCGTGCACAACGAACGACTGACTCCGAGGTCCACTGTCTGTATTGCTGTGAATGAAACTAATACTACGGAGGTAAGGTACCTTAAGAGAGTTTGGTAGATGACTTTTGGTCGTCGGATTGGTCTGGATTGGGACATTACTCCGGGAGATCTGCATTTTTGCCTCAGGCTGTGTTACTGTTACCACCTCAATCACACCCGACCCGACGATCGTTGTATGGGATTCCATACGTATCGGTCAACCTATCCAGAGAGGTATGCAGCAGTAAATAATAATAGTAATAATGCATTATTCTGTCAGTCAAGGAACGTGTCTTAGCCTAAGGTAATCCATAATATTTCTTCTTCTGCAGCATCCAATCGTTCTCCAGTATCTTGACGAACCAATCATAGAGACACATGTACCTAGATCTAGTAAGGTACCTACTCTTCAATGTACCCTAGTCTTGAAGACAGCTTACCAAGGGATTACCACGCACTTTACCTATCTTAGGTTACTTCAGGAGTTCGGCCGAATCCCACCGGAAACTCGGCCCATGATTCTGCAAGGCTTGCAGGCCATTCACTTTCATTTTGGCATAATCCGAGACTCTGAATATGATTGGCTCTCCCGTCATCAACCAAATAAAGGAGAAATCGACCCATTTTGATTTCAGCTAGGCTCATAGCACAAGATACCGTGGAACAAATGGCATATTCCCAATTCTCAATCACAGACTCACAGGCTCAGGCACTTAGCAGTCCACAGCCCGCAGTCCGCACATCAGCAGAGGCAAATCCCATGTCTCGGTACTACGCGGTACCGTACCCCCCTTGCATTAACAATGACCACGATCGTCCTGGATGCATATTTCTGAAGCATGTTGCTAACCAATACCCAAACTGTCGGATCTATCCAAGATGAGTCTGAAAATGAGATTTAGCATTCCAGCATTCCTGAATGTGACAAGTCGCTTGTTTTAACCTTTTCAGAGCAATATACTCCGTGTCTTTTGCTGCTTTAATTGAGTGGACTAGGACTCAAATCGCTATGGAATCTGTTCGGAATGGACACGATACCACTCCTCTTAGTTTTGCTGGTTAGGGATGAATGTGCAGCACTATTGATGACTTACGAAGCATAGAGAAGTCGAGACTCCGAACGCCCTTACGGAGTACTCCGTAGATAGGGACTCCGTGCTCTCAAGCGCAGTGGCGCCGTTCATGTTGCACGAAGCTCATCCCTTTCTGCTTATCGACTACCAACCTTTGCTATATTCTATCCAGTCTGCTCGCCCATGAGATATGACATGACGTCAAGAAGGCGTTCGGTTACCATCCATATGATACGGGATGTCATGACCAAAGATTATGCAGTACGACCGTTAAAAGCTGCATGGTGCTCGAACTCAGAAGCCAGAACGCTTCCCCAACCGTAGAAATAAGGTGGTCTCGGATGCATGCGCGGAAGAGCTCGAGTCCCTAGATTCCAGAGTCTAGATGTCTTCGAGGCGACCATAGCCATATTGATTGTAAGAAGCACTTCGGTGTCTCAATGCGCCTGCATGATATGGCTACTCTCAGCTAGCGCAAGAATGTTAGCTGCCGATTCCTCAACGCCTGTTGTACATCACTCGCATTGAATTCACCACTCACAATAATCAGACATCGACACATTGACCCCCTATTAACGCGCCGTTTCGCATGCAGAGCAATACCTCAAGGCTGTTGTGTATCGAGTGAGTACCTCGCTTATAGAGTTTAGATCTGTAACACGAAGCCACCGCATGATTTCGAGTCAGGAAATGTGACCTGTCAAGTTTGCATCAGTAAGGCCTCGTAGCCGAAGAACTAAGGTAGCACGGATATTATGTATCTAGTCTATCTAGGTTAGAGCTAGCTCTATGTCGGCTTTCACCGTCTTTTGACTGGGAGGATGATTGATAGGTTCCCTTTTTTGGAGAAGATTCCGTCGTTGCAGGGAGTACGGAGTAGTAAACCAGTCCCGGCTACAGATGTCCACCTTATCTCCGTACTCTCCGTACTTTAGACATGTTCGCTTAAATGCTATGAGTCCTATGAGTCCTATGAGACTGTTTTAGTTTGCTCATTTCTTTGATATCGATATCTCTGGTCCGACGGCCGTTGAGTCTGTGCGCTTCCTATCCAACCAAGAGTCAAAGACATGTCCACTCCTAAAGTCCCCGATCTTTTCGAGTTTCGACAGGATACAGTGTTTACTACAATGGCAGTCGACTGGCTGATTTAATGTCCCGGTTTAACTATTCTTAGATTAAGCTTCGCGTATGACGGGGCCAACAGTGGAAGTGACCCCAGACACTAGATGGCTTGTGTGGGAAACAGCGGATTCTCAAGCACTCTGTGCTTCAATGGCACGCTCGACAGCTATTTCCAAAGTATCCATATCAGGCGCATGGATCTTGCCATTGTCTCTCGTCTCGTAAAGAGTGCCGCCCTCCGTCCAGATCCTGCGCAAGGTAGCCACAACCGCCAGCGGATTATTCGCCTCCCAAAGCTCCTGCTCCAGCTGCTTCAGCTCCGGCAGCGGCGTATACTCCCGCTTCCACTTGGCCTGAGTCTGCCGCTCAAACTCGGCTAGAATCTCGTTCGGCGTTGTGGTAAAGGAGTTGACTTTCAGCGCCTGGTTACGGGAGGCCTCGTTGTTGATGATCGCCGCTACGAGGAGTTTGCCCACGCTGGGGTTCGTTAGCTCGGGTTACATGAGGAATAAGTGCATGCGACGTACTCGCTCATAGTTGTAAGGCTTATCCGTCCATTCCCATCACCTAGTAGAACGGCTTTCTTGTTCGCGACATCGAATGTCCCCGCCCGCGGGCACTTGCTTGCATTCTCCAGGTAGAGGTCCGCGTACGGGCCCGTAACAAGGTAGGTGTGTTCGAGTCTCTTCACTTCCTCTCGGATGAATTTCCGCACCTGCAGCTTGAACTGGTGCGGCTTCTCGTGCGCCGACTGCGGCCCGTACTCGATGTCGGTGCCGTACTCGGACGGGAAGAATCGAATGACGTTCGGACAGGACTCGGCGATTCGGATGAGGTTGATCTGAGCGGCGATCATGTTCCGGCCTAGGCAGCTTACGATTGTGTCGAATCCTGGGATATGTGTCAGACAGAAATGTGGTTGGTGTAGGGAACAGCCGTGCACCTTGATAAGCTTCGCGAACGCGCGCTTCATCGTTCAGGTCGCCGACAATGATCTCGACTCCATGGTCTTTGAGCCATTGGATCTGTTCTTTCTTTGTATTGATTGTGTTTTGAGAGGTGAAGATGGCGACGCGGTCGAAAGAAGTTGGAGCAGCGGTTGCAATAGCTTTGATGATGTATCGGCCAATGACGCCAGTCGACCCCAGGACTAGGATTTTGCGCAGTTGACCGGGCATTTTGAGTATATGACAGTTTCTCCAGGTATATACAGGGAATTGAAAGCACAAAAGAATTGGTGTCTGAAGTATACAAGGTCGGATTTCTAAGCGGTATCTAGTGCGGGGATATCGGCTGTTTACTCCAGAGATGGTGTCTGCCTGTTGGGGTCCGCCAGCTTACCCCCAAAGCGATATTATCAGGGTCGGATGGGACAAATTGTGTCTCAGCCGCCATAATATGTGGCCATCCGGCTGGCATGGTATTGACATCCTAAGGCTTTGGCAGTCTTTGTAAAAAGCACCTGCGTCAGTTTTACTTCTGGTATATATCACCGCTGGCGAGCCAACAGCTGCTCCAGAGATGAAGGACATGAAGGAGCTCGAGCCTCTGCAGAAGGTCGGACAGGATGTCTATCTCTATGAGGGGTCTGCCTACAACAGCAATGAATCCAATTCCGACCCTTCACTCATCATCCTATGCACCTGGCTCGGAGGAGCAAGTCCTCGACGCATCAATAAATACGTGGCACAATATCGATCCCTTTTCCCAGCATCATCCATTCTTCTCATTACCACTACATTACCAGATATCACCATCCGTCCTTTTAGCGTGCTGCGTGCGCGATTGAAACCAGCTCGTGAAGCTATCTGCCACATTTTCTCTCAGAAAACCGACGATACAACTGAACGCAAGAACGATGCTCTGCTACATGTCTTCTCACACGGAGGATGCAACACCGCCATTCAGTTGGCGCTCTCCATGAAGGAGAATTCGGGTCCAAACGCGTTGCATCATCTCCCCCTAAGAGGCGTCATCTTCGATTGCTGTCCTGGGGTGACCGATTTCCGCCGATCATACAATGCCGCTGTCCTATCTCTTCCTCAGGGTGGTAAGTTGGCCCAGCTTGTCGGCAGGGCTGTGTTGTACACAACCGTTGGGACGATCACCAGTATCCAGAACACAGGGCTTATGAGCTCTGTCAATGATCTGCGGCATCAACTGAATGACGAGGCGGTGTTGGGGCGCCAGGTGCGAAGGCTGTACATGTGCTCGCAGGCGGATACGACGGTGGACTGGCGCGATGTGCTGTCGCACATGGAGACGGCTCGAGAGCAGGGATACCAAGCTAGTGGGGTTATGTTTCGGAACAGCCCGCATTGTGCACTGATGCTGAAGAATGAGAAGAAATATTGGACGAGCATTAAGCAGTTTTGGAGGGAGGAGGATCTATCGTACAAGGTTGATGGTCCTGCATCTGCTCTTGAAGGTGGCTCGACAGCCAAAGACAGCACATTACCTCGTAGTAAACTGTGAGAGTCACGGAATAACAGAGATGAATAAAACTCTACAGAATACTGTACTCAGGTGTTGTCGTCCAGTGGTATACTATAGGGGTGAATCCGGAGAATCTGATTGGTCGTCGGCTTGTCAGCGCAACATCCGCAATTTGCTCATCACTCGCGTTGTGATCTTCTGCTTTCTTGACTCAGTAACGCTTATGGATCTGTTATCGGTCCTACCGGGCTTTCAAATACGATCATATGCTCATATTATACCCCCGCTCGAGAGAAACAAAATCACCATCGTCGATCTCATCACCCTCGATAATCTCGAAATCGCGAAACGCGCTCACGTTCCTCCCACAGACCTTCGCCGGCTAACGACTCAAGTTGTCAAGGCGTTACACAAAGATGTTGGATTCAACGAAGCTTGTGAGGGTGGTGAAGCTGTCGAGCCGAGCTCCAGCAATGACATCGAAAAGCCTCTCATTCCTGGTCCATCGACCAAGCTAGACTTGTCGCGATGGAGTGCGATCAGCACTCTGGACCCCGTGTTGGATGAGCTGCTCAATGGTGGACTGCCGACTGGCTATTTGACCGAGGTGACTGGAGAAAGGTGACTTACCGGACGATATACGTCTTGTTTGCTATTTCTGACTGTGCGAGGATAGTGGGAGCGGCAAGACGCAATTCCTCCTCAGTCTCCTTCTAGCGGTGCAACTTCCAGAGCCTCGAGGTCTCGGGAAAGGCGCAATATACATCTCAACGGAGGCCCCGTTGGCGACATCGCGGCTGTCGCAGCTCCTCGAGTATCATCCTTACCTCTCGGCCCTCCCGAAAGACCGCGCCCCGACACTGGAGAACATTCTCTCCATCAACGCAATGGACCTGGAAACCCAGGATCATATCCTCAACTACCAGTTGCCCCTTGCGATTACCCGCTACGATGTCGGCCTCGTAGTCATCGACTCGATAACTTCCAACTACAGAGCAGAACATACATCTCACAACGTCCTGGGCCTGTCTACACGATCTGGGGAACTGGCAAGACTTGGCCAGATGCTGCGCAACCTAGCCGTCGAAAAGAATATCGCAATTGTTGTCGCAAATCAAGTGTCGGACCGCTTCGATCCTCTCGAGAGTAATGCAGCATTGCGGCGCGCCGCTGCATACGGAAATACTATTGTCTCATCCTCGCCCGTATCGACACAACAACAACCGACGACTCCCCTACACCGCGACTCAGCCGTCGCTTCACCCCTTCCCGCTGCCCTATCCAGGCCTCCGGAGTCCGGAAATGCCGAGCTATCTCCTCACATCACGATCGTACCGCCATCCTCATCCCCAGCATTCCCCTCCTCGCCGTTCGTCGCGGACGACAACCAGCCCGAGCAGCAGCAGCAGCAAGACTTCGACGGATCATACCTAATCGGCAACCCCGTGCGCAACGAGCTACTGAGCCTAGTGCACCAGCAACGGTTCTTCACCGGGTGGGGCGATACGCCGCAGGCTGCCGCGCCGCCTTCACCATACTACCTCCCCCGACAGCCCCCGCACAAAACACCCGCGCTGGGGCTTGTCTGGTCATCCCAGATAGCGTGCAGGATTGCCCTAAAGAAGGAGGAGATCACGACCATGCTCGATCCTGCCTTCGAGCCAAAGAGCACAGAACCGTTGTCGCCAGCCTCACAGCCAAACGAAGAAACTAGACCGACGCCAGACGGTAAGGAGCAGCGAAGCGATCACGACGTCCTGGATACCAGTTCGGATATCCCGCCCGTGCGGCGACGGATCACGCCCCAACCGGCAGCACCAGAGATAATTCCGCCTCGTACGCTCCGAAGAACCATGAAACTGGTCTTTGCGCCTTGGACCGCCGGGAGGGTGACAACTACCGTCGACAAGGAGGGGAACTCCACCGTTTACTTCCAGGATGAGGTTGAATATACCATTTGGAAGGGAGGATTAGAGAGCGTGGAAGGGCAAGAGTAGACGATATTCAAGAATCAACTAACGACGAGGCTGCTAATGGAGTACAACTATTCCCTTAGCATCTCTGACTATGTCTGAATATGGTAGATAGTGATTTATCAATGTACCATAATCTACAATGAAGAATTTGTCTGCCTTGCTCTGTCGCTGTGTTATGTTTTATCTACGCTAGTGCTAGTTTCGGCGGGCGGCGGAAGCTATCCTGCATCCCCGCATTTGAATTCCTTGTTTTCTCCAGCCTTACGACTCCTCTGCCCATACTCATTGTCCTAAGGGATGAAGCTTGTGATTGCTTCCTGGATTCACTGGATTCACCTGTGGTCTAAAGGGACGAACTTCGAACACGACAAAAAGGGCATCCACAAGTCTTCGCTGAAAAGCAGAATATATGCTATGAAAAAGGGTTAAGATGATCTAGAGCACATGGCAACCAAACAGGACTCCCCGATTAAGAACGATTAAAGGGCAGGAGTCGACATCGACGAATAAAAATCTTTTTGCCCCTTCCAGATACGCCTTTCATTTAGACAACTCACATTCGCTCTATGATATGACGAGTGCCCGTGTCGTGGTCAGATTCGATCCTGCGAGAGCACCACGGAGCGAGGAACTCAAAAAAGAGAGAAAGGAAGAAAGAAGAATAAGGTTCTATGTGCTGACGAACAGAGACTCTATTTGGCGGGAATCTTGGCAGGAGGGACACCGATGCCGTTGATGTTGCGGTAGAAAAGAACATGCTGGCTTTCGCCCTTGGCGCCCTCGGTGGGCTCAACCCACTGGCAGGTGCGAGCGCTGGTCCAGAGGGCCTTGAAGAAACCAGTCCAGCCGGTGTGAGCCTCGCTGCGGTAGTGTGATCCCATAACCTTCTTGATGGCCTCGCTGGCCTCATCGGCGTGGTAGAAGGGGATGGTGCTGACATAGTGGTGAAGAACGTGGGTCTCGATGATGCCGTGGAAGATGTGGCGACCGACAAAGCCGAAGTCACGGTCAATCGTAGCGGCAGCTCCACGGGTGAAATCCCAGGCCTCAGGCCGATAGTGGGGAAGGGTGGGGTCGGTGTGCTGGAGGAAAGTGATGGCAACTATATTTGTAAGTCAGCAAAACCTGTTCCATGCCACGAAAGGTGGGCGAGAGGATCTTACCGAGCCAGTGGTTTACCCAGAGGTAAGGAATGCCGTACCAGACAAGGAGGTTGAGCCAGCCATAGGTCGATCCGATGTAGTAGAGGAGGCTTCCCACAAGGAAGAGACCGAGATCGCTCAGGGCGATCAGTTTGGCATCCTTGGCCTCATACAAGGGGCTGGAAGGGTTGAAGTGGTTGACACCACCAAAGTAGCCGTTCCGCTTGCCCTTGCCGCGTCCCTCGGGCTGGCGCTCATGGTTGTTGTGGCCGGTGACGTTGGTCAAGAGGTACAAGGGCCATCCGAACAACTGCTGGAGAACGAGGTTGGTCGCGGTCAGGATGGGGGTTTCCTCCATCAATTCACCGAGCTCGTGAACGGCGCGGCCGATGCGCGAGGCATATTCTTCCCTGGTCTTGGGTACGAAGACCATATCACGGGCGATGTTACCGGTGGCCTTGTGGTGCTTGCCGTGGGAGATCTTCCAGGAGAAGTACGGGACGAGCAGAAGAGAGTGGCAGACCCATCCAACAGTGTCGTTCAAAACCTTCGAAGGGGAGAAAGCTTGGTGACCGCACTCGTGTGCCAGAACCCAAACGCCAGTACCGACCAGACCCTGAACGATTGTATAAATAGTCCACAGAGCGACGCGCACCGGCATGGAGGGCACGGTCTCGGGAGTGACATAGTTGTGGAAGACATAGAAGACGGTCGCAAGGATGGCCATGTCCCGGAAGACATAGTACAAACTCTTGGCAGCCGAGCGTTGGTAACAGTGAGCAGGGATGGCATCCCGGATCTGTTTGATGGTGTAATCGGGGATCCTGAACTCGTTACCATAGGTGTCGATCATCTTGCCGCTGGAGTCCTCGGCATCCGAAGCCATTGAGGAGAGCGACGTCGACGAAGGGGACTGGCGAGGACTGTCGAAAGGAGAGTGGGAGACGGAGCTGGGGACGGAGGAGTCCGTGGTTGGGTTGCGATGCAGCGCAACGCGCTTGGGAAGAGCTGTTGAGGACATTTTGACAGGACCGAGCTGCTGCTGTACTACAGACTTGTTGGTGCGAGGGATGAATACTGTCAATTGTGTCAGTCCATGCAAGAAAGCCGCATATGATCGGTGGCCAATATCCAGTCAATGGGAAGGTGAAAATGATGGAAGACGTCAAGACAAGCCTTGGAAGGACCGAGAGTACTTCCCTCGTCGGCTTGACAAAGAAGTTTTCCCATGTGGGGGACAAGTTCAGGCTTCCACTCACCCAGTGAATCTGCTTCAGTGGAAGGTCACAAACTCGAAGCTTCCTGACTCTTTGTGGTGGAAGGCTGACAAGGTCAGAAAGATGGTGTGAATGACCTGGTCGCGAATTTCTCTGCACTTCGTTGAACAAGGCAAGAAGAGGCCAACAAGGAGACAAGGAGGAGGGAGGATGGCGGTTAAGAGAGCGTCCAGCAACAGAGGAGGAACAGAGGAGGGGGGCAATAAAGAAGATCACAAGGGATGAAAAGGCCAAAGAAAAACAACCGGACCGAAATTTCAGAAGGCGAAAAGAAGGGAAAAAAAAGGAACGCGACGAGAACAGCCCATTCCCGTGTCCCCAATGATTTGACTATCAGATGGATGTTGGAATACCGATTTAGGTGGTAGGCACTACATGGAGTCCATCCATGGGTTTGGTTGGTATCGGGGGTAATTCTCAATGGGGAGCATTGGCAATCACAGTAATTTTTGACCATATCCTTGAAGAATGATTGGCCTGTGAGCTCATTGAGCACGGGTAACCCCTGTATTACCAATGCAGATTTTCACATTTTTCATTCCGAATTTTCTTTTCTTTGGAAATCCGTACAATTCGCCTCAGACGGCGTCCTGGGATTTGAGAGTGTAATAATCATCTATTCATTTAAGGTAGTACCTAACCACCAAAGCTGGACGCCTTCATCAGCACTCGGCCAATCAGTCTGTCAAGTCCAGTCCTGTGCAGATCGGCGGAATGGCCCATTTCTTTCTTGTTTCGGTTCTCCCAAGCCAGCGTTTCTCATGATTGGTAGTAAGGAGTACTTCGTAGCTGCATAGAGTTCAGCTCACTCTTGACCTGCAGTTTGCATATGAATATGCGAGTTCTGCAGCTCAGGTGGGATTTGGATGCGCCACTTGTCGCGATCTCAAATTTACGAATGATACCTAAGTCATCGACAGATGACAGACTGATGGTCTACTATCTACCTTCTCGCCAATCAACATTGAGGCATTTTCGGCGTCCGATAGGGGTTCCGAGTCAGGCCACCTTGAGGTTGAGCCTTGATTTCTGGCCAAATAGATTCTAGAGTCTGTACGGAGTACTCTCTAGTCTATCTACTGGTATCTACTACGCTTTATTTTCTGTAAGCGATGTTCAGCCACAACTAAATATTTGCAAATGGATTAACCATGTGGCAGACATGGGGGGGCAAAGTGAAAAATACCTTACCGCTAGTGACATTCCGGACCAGGTACAGATACCGGGGTGGCGTCTCACCGCCTTTTCAAACCCCAATCATATATGATAGTGATGATCCACTGCCGGCCAAAGGGAATTGGCTTCTCAACAGTCTTGGCGTGCACGAATGCGTATCATTGCCTTACAGTAGTTTACCTGTCCTTGGCTAGCTCACGAAGAAGGAGAGATCTTCTCCGAGGTATCATATGCAATCCTCCTAGGTCTGGAGAAAATGTCTGCAGCTTTGCCTGCGGAGGTCTTGACACTCGACTCCTTGAGGTCAAGCGAACTTGACATTATTTAGCTACCAGCGACTTATAAAATCGTGGGTCGGAGATGATTCGGAGCAGATCCATATCAGTTCCCCATTGACCTTCTAGAACATCTCCAAATTTGACACCAACTCCAGAACATCAAAATTTCGCGACATCGTTCCCTCTCAATAGCATGTGAATCTCATCCTCACCTGACTGGGAATGAAACGCCATGGACACCCTTGCTCAGACTTACTGCTAAAAGCCAATGTAGTATCCTCATACTGAACCGAGCTTACTCGATGATGCAAGCGCTGGCTTACCTAATGTGCAATCCTAAGTAGATCATCCTCAGTCTCACCAATAACAACCAGCCTAGGCCACTCAAGGTTTGATCGCGATCGTTCCAAGGCGTCGGCTAGCTTCTAGGGTGTTGCTAGTGGTCTACAATTGCAGGCGTCGGGTTTACTTCGTACATTCTTCCTTTCAACCTCTGTAAGATCCGTGATCGAGGCAATGCATGTGATTCGGACCTTGCTTACTATGGTAGTATCATAGTAAATCACTCTCAGATCCTGTTGATCACTCTCGGAAAAGCTCAACAAGTGAGGAAGGAATGCCAGGACACGCCCTCTATTTATTTCTCATGACTAGGCAGTCTCAATGCTGGCATTGAATATCACTATGCAATAAACGGATTCCTCTGAAACAAATAGAACAAATTCTTGATCCCCAGAGATCTCGGGTTTGATTTCTCATTCTACTAGTCTCGTCCGGAGGAAGTAGCAGTAATTTAAACTGTTGGGGCGGAGCCATTTTGTTGAGGATGGGAGGATATCAGTGGGTCTGGCTTGACTTGTCAACCGCCAAAACTAAAATTCCTTGTGAAGAGGTTAAAAAATAAAATAATTAGTTAATTAAAAGCGGGTGCTTAGTCACCAGTGGCCTGTGTATTTTTCGTCCTTTGCAAATTTGCCCCGACGATGCACAGCCATTTTGTCTATCTACACTCGGATCTTGATATCTTCATGCTCGGATCGCTAGGTTACACAGTTACAACATCGTTAACATCATCATGCATGTACCTCATTTCGACTCTCTGAATTTATCAACCACGAGCCGCCGTGCCCCCCTTGCCCCGCCGGGCT